TAGAGTGCAACCAGTGTGCTCTGTTACACTTGCATTTTGATAGTTGGAAAAAAGTCGAGGCACCAAGCAGAAATGTTAAGGGAAAACGGTAAGCATGTGTCTGTCTAGCAGTCAGACGTTAAACTGAAATGAAATGAATGAAAAGGAAAAAATACTAAAATTATAATCCAGTCCCCAAAAAAGAGGGTTCAGGAAAAAAGGAAAGTCTGTGGGAAGCATCAATCTAAATAAAAACTGTGTCACTAAGGGCCTTGTGCTAAGCACACAAAGCAAGGTGTTGTTGAACGCCTCCAAAATTTTAGATTATTATAAATAAATAAATAAAACTTCACTTTTATTCCATGTTCTGGAACCACTTTGAAATACAATACTTCCTAAGCTCATTTAAACTGTACCTGGCCAATAATTTTAAGTCAAATTTAGTGATAGTCATGGTCCTTTTTAATAAAATTACTTTCCGACAGGAGTACAATTTATGTTAGGTTGTAAAAATTGGTTAATTAAGTTATAGAATAATATTAAATTTGAGTGACAGGTCAGGAATAACTAAAAATTTGCATACTTTGTTGGTTAATTCTCAAAAGCAGTCAATAGTCTTCTTTTTCATCCCTGGAGACACAATACGATATATATTTACAGAAATATATTGCAGTGACTAATGTAAGAGGTATTTGGCTCTTGGCTATACAATTTGTTTGTCTGATAATGTATATGAGTCTATGTATCTAGATATTACTATAATTCAATGATTTTACTATTATCATGACGGAAAGTCATGATTTTATTAAAGACACGGAGGCTTCTATTATGCTGCACTCTTTCTTTAATTCCCTCAGCAACAAAGAAACATTATTTGAAAAAAACAAAAACATTTGAAATAGGTATAAACATCATAGTGACAATGTCCACCTAGTAACATGACCATCCAATCAGTGACCTCCTTCTCCTATAGTAGGCGGAGCGTCGATGGCCATTTCCTCTTTCTTTCTTGCTAATCCAGAAGAATAATTGAAACTCGGAACAGGAAACCCGAATAAACCAAACGAGCTGTAACAAGGCATGTGATTCCAAGGGGTCTTTCAACCAGGTCACGCTAAAAGAAACAAAACCATATGGTAATTTCTTGAAATCATGGGTTGTCAATATATATAGAGGTCTAAACTTCTGATTAAACAGTGACAACACTTCATAAAAGTAGTAAGAGGAAACTACCAATCTGAGGACAACAGTGACAAATAAAGTCTCATAATTAAATAATGCCCTAAAGCGATGTAGGTATGTGATGGCATTAATATCGCCAATTTGAACTTACCATGGAGAGGTCTGTAACTTAACTCGACCCACATCCGTGCCATCCAAGGGTGGGTGGGTGGTATAATACTCGCCTCCGTGTCGTTAATAAAATCATGACTTTCCGTCATGATAATAGTAAAATCCTTGAATTTTATTAAAGACCCGGAGGCTCCTATTATGCTATTTCAAAGCTGTGATATCATGGTTATTATAAATGCTGGATTGGTTTGAAATAGAAATTCCGCGGACCAATCAGCCGCCTTCAATATATCCTCCAAATGACAACGGGAGTACCAATCTGCCGTAGTGTTGGACAACCCTGGCAAATATTTTGCCTTGACAACCATGTTGTGTTGCAGACAAAACTTCCAAAAGTCTCGAGCCAAATTCGCTAGAATTTTGGATCTTGCCCCACCAAGGTGGTTGATATAACGGACAGCTGATATGTTGTCCATCTT